AAAACACAAAAAGCCATAGAATCATAAAGTCATTAAGGTTGAAAGATACCTCCAGTATCATTGAGTTCAAGCATTAACTCAACACCATCATGTTCACCACTAAACCTTATCCTCAAGTTCCACATCCCTACACTTCCTGAACACTTACAGGGAAGGCGATTCCACCACTTCCCTGCACAGCTTGTTCCAATGCCTGAACACCTTTTCAGTGAAGAACTTTTTCTTACTATCCAATCTAAACCTCCCCTGATGCAACTTGAGGTCATTTCCTCTCCTCCTGTCACTTGTTACTTGGGAGAAGAGACCAACTCCCACCTCGCTGCAACCTCCTTTTTGGTACTTGTAGAGTGTGATACCGTCCCCTTTGAACTTCCTTTTCTTCAGGCTAAATGCCCTCAGCTCCCTCAGCTGCTCCTCATAAGACTTGTACTGTAGAACCTTCATCAGCTGTGCTGCCCTCCTCTGGACTCACTCCAGCACCTCAATGTCTTCCTTTTAGTGAGGGGCCCAAAACTGAACACAGGATTTGAGGTGCAGCCTCACCAATGCCAGGTACAGGGGGAGAGTCCCATCTCCTCAAGCTCATTTTGGCTGTCCATTCTCCCAGGGCATAGGAAGTGCCGCTGCCTGGCTGCTGGAAACCCTTGCACCCCAGGAACAGTGCAGCTGGCAGAAAGAGAAGCTAAACAAGTCCTAGCTCCTTTGCTTGTTAAACAGTACCATGGAGGAGGAAGAGGATACATCCACTCCTGAGGTTTTGCAGGGGAGGTTGGGAAACATCCTTTTTTCCCCTTAGATTCCTTGCAGCTGCAATCGTAAGGCCCAACCATGTCCTGCACTGGCAGCACAGCACAGCACAACTCTTTCGGTCGGTGCTGCTTCCTACCTCATGCTGTTTACAGCTGTGGCACACAAGTCTTAGTTTGGCTTGAAATAGGAAAGGTCTGTCCCACTGAGCTGGGATGTAAACAGGAGCTTAGCTTTACAGCAGCTGGAAACCAATTTTCTGGGTTTGCTCCTGTTGTTTGCCAAATACTTTCTATTCATGGGAAGACGATGAAAAACATTTAGATGAGATTGTGGCTGTCTAGTTCCTAGCAAGCTGTTATTATTAGGGAGGGGAGAAAAACCCAAACCCAAACCCCAAAAACCTGGACAAGTTACAAACCTTCTCTATAGCTTAAATAGAGGCTTGGTCTAATTCCTCCAATTGACTGGAGCTACTCTTGCCATTTCCCAGACAGTGACTTAAATGCATGTAACCTCTTTAAGTGCTATACCTGTTATTGTGCTGCGTTCCTTTGGCCAAACTACCCAGGTTTGACATTACAAACCAGGACATTGAAGACAGAGAATGAAAAAGGCAATAAATACCCTGCTAACCTCTCCAGCAACACAGAAGCAATAGCAGCAACATTTTGCTTCAGGAACCTGTCCCCAACCTCTTTTTCTAACACAAAGGTATTGAATGTATGGCAGCAACTGACGGGTTTCTCAGAGAGAGAGGGAGGCCCTTGTCAGCAAAATGTAAGAGGAATGCCAGGACAACTGTCCTATTAAAAAATAAGTAGACAACAGATTGACTAGGGGATACTGTAAATGCACAGAAATGGACCAGGAGAAGTTCATTCAAAGCATTTCCTGCTCCTTTCTCTAATAAGACTTCCATTTGCATGAGGTAGTATCTCGTGCCATTGGGGTCAACATATATTTGCAGGAGATTCTTGAGCCCAAATGACCCAATCCCTGTGTTTGGGATGAAAAAAAACACCTCCCCACCACCTCAAAAAAACCCCCAAACCAAAGCAAACCAAAGAAAAAAAGAACAAACAAACAAACAAAAAACCCAAAACCAAACCAAACCAAACCAAACCAACCAACCAAACAAACAAACAAAAAACCCCAGAAAAAATAGTGATGTCCCCTGTGGCAGCAATAGGGGTATGAGAAACACCATTACAGTTTTTGGATGCAGGTTGAGTGGATAAAGCTTTAGCTGTTTCTACTCAACCATCCTGGCACTGAGGGCTCTGTGGTAGGAGAGTAGATGTGCTTCAGCTGGGACACTCCAGAGTCAGGGCAGGTGGATGTCCTATGATTCACTCATTGGGTGGGTAGACAGCGAGACGAAGGCAGAGACAACAGGGGATCCTGCAGGGATTAGTTGATCTTATAAAGAAACTACATGCTTTGGTCTCCTTTCCAGGATGTGTTCAGTGCTGTTATTGAAGAAGAACATGGAAGACAAGTATAATGGAAATTTACAGTTATCACAGTGACACTCATAGGTCTACTTTGACTCAAAGCTGAACATATACACAAGTGGTTAATCAGACATATTTCCTGTCCTGAAGAAGTTTTGGCCCAAATGCACATATCAGGACAAGGACGGGAAGAAAAATGAAGGCCAGGCAAGCCTTGTGGACACCCAGCCCATGGAGGCAGTGCAGTCAGGGGAGAAAGGAGCCCTGCTGCTCTCCTCGCACTGGTGTACAGCTACAGCCAACACTGCTTCCTTTCGGAAAACTCCATGGTTGAAGTAATAACTGATCTCTGAACTCCTCTGAAGCAGATAGTGAGTCTGGAGTCACAATTTCATGGACTTCTGTCCAGTTAGTTTTAGTTACCTCTTTACTGGGAAAAATAGGTGGAGGTAAACACCTTAATTGAGGTACTTCTATCAAGTCAAAATTACGCATCTATAGACCACCAAGTCACCTATTGCTGCTGCATGCAAGCAATACAAGTGCCTTGAGCCTTACAGGGCCCCTTCAATATAGTGATTGTTTAGCAGCCCTGAATTATACTGTGGGAAGTGAAGGAAAATGAAACTTTTTAAAAGCCATTTTAAGCTATAAATCCATTTTGCACTCCAGGTTAGTTCCCCAGGCCCTTGGTGTAATACTACTGTCTCTTCCTACATGCCTTTTTTAGCGCAGGGCAAAAGCAAGCTTTTCCCTCTTATCTCCTCTGTTAAGCTCAGTAGAGATTAGGGACCACAACTCTTGCTTATGCAGGTGCAAGCCAGTGCAGTCACAGGGAAGTGAGTTGGGTCTTGGCAGTGCAATGATTTGCTCCATTGTGCAAATGGGATCCCAGTGCACAGCAGGCTTCCTGCTCCTTATTCAGTTAGTGGTTTGTCCTGGCCTGACCTGGATATAGCAAGTGAGAAAAATACCGGACGAAACCTCATTCAATCCTTGATTCTCTTTTAACTACTAACCAAGGCACCTCTGTACAAGCATGATACTTTGAGAGGATGTGGACAAATATATCTATGCTGAGGAGTGGCAGAGGCTGCAGTCCGCATTTAGAAATGCTGAGCAGTGTGTTTTTCTAAGCTGGCTAATTAGTATGGGCTTGAAACTAATGGCTGCGTTTAACTGACAAGGCAATATGCCCTTCACTCATCCCTTGAGATGTCAGGAGAATTATTTCTCTTGAAAACATGCCTATTAACTCGTTCTTCTCTATCTGCTTTGATCTTTTCAATATAATACTTTCCCTCTGCATTTCATTTCTCCCTATGGAGGAAACCATGAAAGCAAATCATACTGATTTGCAAACAGCTCCTCCTCCTTTACCTGCTGGGTTGCTTGGCTGGGTCTTCTGTGCCAGTGGCCCTGGTCTCATGTGAGGAGCTGGGGAAAAGACAACACTGTGATCACAAAGTGTTAGCACTTGTGCAACCTCAAAAAGATGCTGTTAAAAGATCTGAACTGCTGTTAAAAGATGTCTGAACTGCTGCAGATGCCTCTGTCCTTCTCCAGGGCAGCGAGGAGATCAGAAAGAGACAATGATTCAGCAAGTCACAATTTTCCTCCCAGGTTGTTCCACTGAGATCTGGATCAAAAGAAAAATTGATGACCTGGCCTTTAAATGGAAAGGAAGATAGGGTTTTCTGACAAATTTCATTATGATCCAAGTACCATGCAACCCTACTGCAATATAGATCCTTACACCAAGATGCTTGTTAATACCTGGTGAAAACAGGCCAGAATCTAAAAGTAAATAGTAGGAATGAAAAAAATGAAATATAGCAATAAATATGTACTGATATTTAGGGCCAAATCTTGCCCTCAATTTGAAGAGTTCTGTATAACAGTAGGAAATGCATGTGGATATCTGCAATTGGATACACTGTTCATTATATTCAAGAATTGAGAAGTTAATTGCCAAACTGGCAAATGCTGCTCTTCTCAGTCTCAGTACCAGTGGTGAATCTGGCTTTGCATAGGAGTCATGGGAGATTTTCAGTGCTTAGGTTACCCTTGAGATACGAGGCATCATTTTGCTATGTAAATGTTTATCTTTTGCATTTCCAGAAATATGCTTTAAGAGACTTTTTCTCTCCCATAAGGGTCTATTTGGCACTTCAAGAGACTTGCTAGCTTTGCATTTCCAATAGGGATGGTTCTATTTTGGCTACCACATAGGGGGAATGGGCTAACAGTAGCTGTATTCCAGGAGCGCTGAGCACTTCTCCACATTATTTACAGTAACTACAAGATGCAGATATTTAGGACTTCATAAGGTCAAGCCACAAGGTCTTAAAACACTGCAGCATGGAATTATAGTCCTATTTTGAGCCACCAACATTTTTGTTAATTTTTTTTCAAGCTAGCCATTGCCTGCAGTATCATACCAAATTAAAAAAAAAAAAAAAAAAAAGAAGCAGAAAATGCATAATGCAGTAAAAGAGGTTTGGCTGTGAATAACGTTGGTATACATTGTACACCAAAAGGAGATGACTTCAGGGACAAATGACCCTTGTGACAGACTTCCCCAAATCACAGGATGTCAATTTGTTTCTTGAAGGCACCTACTATGTATTGCAAAGGACTGATGTGAAAAAGTGCATGCTGTCCCTAGACTAAATAAGTGTTGCTTTGTTTTCAACCTAGAAAAGACAGAAAGAAAGATGGAAAGAAAGGGAGGGAGAGAGAAAGCATGTCACAGACGAAAGCATATTCTCAAAGGTCATGCCAGAGTGTCCTTACCTCAGCAAATGCTCTGGATTAACTTCATAATGAAATAATCCTGCTGTCTGATACTGCCTGAGAAATAAACGGTGTTCTTTTAAAGTTCTTGCCCATTTCACAGCACTTCCCTCTGACACTGTAATAAAGTAGGTTGCAGCAAGTATCCTGCATGCCATGCCTCCAAATGTACCAGTTAATTACTGAGTCCTTTAAACCTACTAACAAGACAAGCCTTGTTCTTTCAACCTATTGCTTTTTGCCAAAAAGAAAAAAAAAAAAAAAAGAAAGAAAAAAGTCTGTTGGGCAAATAGATCTTTCCAGAGAAAACAGATTTGTTTCCAAATCAGTCAACTGTGCTGAACTGGAAAGGAAGAAATGTTATTTTTTCCAGGATGAAAGCAAAACAAGATCTCTCTCTGTTTACCCTGTCTCACCCATTTCTAAAGAAGGTCAGTTTAATTCCTTCATTCCTTTTCCTGCTGTCTTATTTATCCTGAAGTCCTCTAGTCTTTTTCAATTTCACTGGCAAAGCCCAGCCCAGTTGGTCCAACATAGGAGTGCACTATGCTATGTTCTTCCCTGCCATGTGAAGATGCTGAATAGAGCTGGGTGAACTGTAAACATCCAGACATTCTCCTTTCTTACTTGCTTTCCCATGCTTCTGAATAAAAACATAAATCTCAAGCACTTATTGTTGATTTAGTTTCCTTTTAGCATCTTATTCATTACAGATGCTCTGAAGACTGTAAAAACAATCACAAATTCAGACTTCACCACCCCTGTCTGTTGTGCCATGCTGAAATACAAACCCCTATACCACAAGTATCTTTTAATACTGATGCCTGGGACTGAGTTTGAAAGGAAGGAATGGTAGTAGAAATAAAAGGCAATATAGTAAGCAGGAGAAAAGAGCTTTTCTACCCTCATAACAGGTAGCTTTTGATCTTTAACTCAGAAGGAGCCTAGGGCAACTCCTGAAGGGTGACTACACTTGAACTACAGTCAGTAGAGGCCATCATGTTTGCTTATATCAGCCCAGCTAGCACACAAGGTGTGTTTTGCATGCCATAGAGTCAAATGCATAAGTAGATGTACATTTCTTTAATAGCCATGGACTGTAAGAGAGGGTCATTAGATCAGTTAGTTTGATCTACTAGATGGCACCTTAACAAAAGAAAAGTGCATACTACTGAATTCTCCTGTAAGTGTTCTTAGTGTGCTGGGTTAGTTACACCAGCTTAATCTCTTCTGTGGTCACGTACACTCCATTGACTTTGGAGTATCAGCATCAACAAAACAGCCCGAAGGGAGGTGTGTGCTACCTGCCAATATGCACGTTTTAGAGTAAAAGGCTCCAAAACATGATCGAGTGCCCATGCCTTATCTACAACCTCTTCCACCCTTGTATTACTCATTCCTGCCTCGGGTGCTGAGTATGCAGACTCTACAGCAGCTTCACTGGATGAAGGGAGCTGTGAAGTCATGACTCAGGCACCTTAACCTGACCAGGTGCCTGTGCCCTGAATGCGTCTGGGCAAGTCTAGAGGCAAAATGGGTTCACACAGTGCACACACCAAAGAAGCTGGGAGAGCCACCATGGCCAAAGGCTCTTTGTGAAACTCCCCAGTGGTATGTTGAACCCATAGTTGAACTCAGTTCTCAACTTGGCTTCAACACAGCCCTGTTGTACTATGAAATATGCTACTTTTAAAACCGTAAAACTATAGGATATGATATATGGCAGTCTCTACAGGATTCCACAGCTTTGCTAACAAAATGACCAGTAATTTCACATCTGTCATTGCAATTTCAGTTCAAGCACCCACATTAAGGGCAGCAGTCCTTGCAAAACAAACCAGCTCTCCTCCATGCCTCCCTTTGGTGACTAGTCAGACTTTATCCACTGTCCTGGAGCTGCCAGTGGATTCATTTCACCATGTTCTTCACTTGCCCAGACGCTAGAAGATTAGTTATGCATTTTGCTCTTTTCTGGTTTTAGTGGCACAAGATGCAGACCTTTCAACACCCACCGTCCCATCAGAAGTCCTTTCTGTGTTTCAATGTTTGTTCCTTTCAGAGGTGGTGCAGGGCTTTCTAAAGTTGTCTCCTGCTGAAGGGAGAACCCTACAAGATGAGATCATCTACTTATTTCCAGGGAAAATGTCAGCTCAGGAAGCAACGTACTCTTTCCCAGAGTTCTGCATTTCCCAAGGGGCAACACCTCTCTCAGGAAGAGGCACATCTGTTTCTACACCTCTCCAGCACATCAGTTTCTGTTAGAAGTAATTGCCTCGGTGGCACTTTCTCCAAACTGCATTCTGTGATGAGAACAACTGATCCCACAGTACCAAAGCCATTTAGAAAATGCTACCTACCTCACCTTAGCTCAGGCACTCACTGCTGGGATATACAGATATACTGTACACACATACATGAAAGTTGCCACGCTCCCATTGAAGTCAACAAGAGTTATCTGAGGGAGAAGATGGCATCTTGTTTTTATTTATAACCAGTGTTTATTCACTCGATCTAGACACCCCTAAAATCTTTAGACTGTCAACCCTTCCCTACATAGATCTAGTCCAGCCTGCGTGAAAGCAGCATTTGCCAGCTGGTCAAGAAATTACACTGTGCAAATAATTACCCTAGAGGAGAATGGCCTTGGCAGCAACTACCTGAGTACTGGAGAAAGGCAAGTAGTCAAAGGGCAAGGCTTTGGAGAGCACTACAGTAAACTACCTGGTGGAACATATTAGAGAAGACATTCAGCAAATGTGACTGACACCTCTGATTCTCTACCAGCTGTCAGGTTTGGAATTACAGCCATAACAATTAGCCATGATTACTTCCCAATGTTGCTAAGTACAGTGCAAAGGTCACTAGTTGGAATAGTTTCTTTTTGTGATATTTAAGTGCATTGACAAAGAGGAGTATCAGATCTCAGGACTGAAGAGTAGAGATGCATTGGCAGGTATGTTAAGGGAAGAGGAAGGAGGATCAATATTTACTGTTTATGCTAAGCAGATCTCCTGCCAGACATGCACTGGCAGTATCTGTTAAAACATTATTATATAGATAAATAAAGATAATTACCCTAAGTAGTGCTGTAGGGGTTACAAAGTCATATCATGACCATAGTAGTCCAGCGAGTTACCCTGTAGCTCGACTAGCCAACCATAAGCTATCCCCTTATCAAAAACATAAAAGAAAGATAAATTTTGTTGCATAACCAAAAGGATTAAACATCAATAAATTATTGGGCTTTACCTAGAACTCATGTCTACCATTAAAAGGCCACTGGTTTAGAGTCCTAAGATCTCATAGACAAAACTGATGAGCAAATATCAGAATTGAAGACCTGTACGAGCACCCTTGATGCCAGGTAATCAAAAAAAATATTTCCAGACAAGCTCCTTTGCAGATCATATCCAAGCCTGTGAGAGAGCACCTGTCTAGGCAGCTTGAGATACTGGTTACTTTACTACATCAGTAGTATCTGATAGCATGCCCTATGCAAAAGTATTGTGATTTGAAGCAGGATTAAACAAAATATTCTGAGTTCACTACACTTGAATTTTGTATTTCAGGTTTACACTTCCAGTGAGTATAGGATGAGGGCTATTTACTCTGAAGAGATTGGATAATGCCACCACAACCGGTCTTTTCCCTCTTGATTTATGTACTCCCATATTCCTACTTATATCCTCGAAGCTTTCCTGAAGACTTTAGAGAGTGGAATGAAGACAGGGTTTGTGTGAAGAGATTAATCAGTTCAGCAGAGCATGTTGGAAGATTTGCTTATCCTTGTTGACATCAAAACTTGGAGTAAGGTCAGAGTATTCCCCTAAAGATGTCATGACTCCAGTCATGCCTAGTTTGCAGAGTCTGAAGTCGAGATATTTGAGCCTAGGCAATTGCAGTCTGCAAAAACAGTTGATGCACACGGAATTACTGTTTTTAAGACCCAGACAAATAACATACCACCAGTAAATAATGAAAAGCCTTCTTGAGTAACTTGGCTGCTGGACACCTGCTATCCAAGAGGTGTGTTGTGGAGCTGTTCAGTTACAAATGATCATGGGAGGCAAAATCATTGTTTGCCTCCCCTGACAGAACAGATGTTACTCTTACAGTCAGACTTTGGTTAAATGCTTAGGGAAAGAGCATTTCTGCCAGATCAAATGAATGCCCATGGAAACCAACCGTGGCAGGAATTAGTTTAGTTAAACATTTGAACTAATCCTCTCTGAAATTCTTTTGGCACTGTTTATTCAGCTGTAATTGTTTCATGAACACACAACAGTTTAAACAGGGCCTTAGAACCTGGGTCAAGCCTATACAGTTCGCTTGATACAATTTAATTTGACCACTTGAGAGGCATAAACATTCTTAACACATAAATTAAAGGTGTCTCAAGAAAGCATTCAGCTTTTCACTAAATGTTGTTAAAAAGTAGACAGAAGTCAAACAGAGGACTGTTATACAGAGTTGGTAACCTGATATTCTGCTATCATTACCACGAAGCTCTTTTTCACAGTAAAAACATCTTAGACTTGAGATTCCAGAAAGAGGTGATTTTTTTTAATATGACAGACTAGATGCTTTATTCTTCCATAATTAATGGAAGAAACATCTTGCTAAAGTTTGTGTAAGTTACACAAGATTTGGAGTTATACTACTCCCTTACAGAATACAACCCTGTAAGTAACTGTTCCCAGTGTTGCTAAGAATTGTGTGGTAGTGTGAGGTTAGCAAGTATACAGCAAACTGTTTGAGTTTCTGTCTTCTCTGGAGACAGAAGAAATCAGCGGATAAAAAAAAATTACCCTTAAATATTCCCTTAGCTCCAGCAGGAGCCTTTTAACTTTACATCAAGGCAAAGACCCCTGTTTTCATTAAGTTATAATGAAGAAAAAGACTACAAAGACTTCTCTAAAGCTTTATTGTCCAGGAAGAAGTAAACAGTGTTCTGTGACTGCCCAGCAGAGTTTGTCATAATGGAGGTGTGGGCATACACAGCTTAGGGCAAAAACTTTGTGCACAAACTAGGAGATACAGAACCACCTTCACAAGAATAACATTGCCTTCAGTTTCCTGATTTCCTCTTTGTTTGTCTCTGCTAACCAATGGAGCTGGAGAGATACACCTGCTCCTGAAAATCCCAAACACCTGC